GGGGGGGGGGGTGGGGGGGGGGGGGGGGGGAATGCAGCTTTTTGGAATGGAACAAGACGTTGGAGCAAGGCTCGTAGATCTAACCACCTTTTGGCCGCATATATATATACACACCCTCCACTCCATATATATATATATGTAGTGTAATGTGATGATGCTTACGCATCATTGTTGTAACTTGCCAATTTGTTCGTCGTCAGCAGGCCCATGCATGGGATCGCATGTCGCGGGCATACAATCATCGTCATTATTTAATTATCGTTATCATCCATCATTATTATAATATATGCTTTGATGTCTAGGGGAAATCTTAGTCACATGGGAATGTCCCGTATCAAAACCGTCCATGATTAAACGCATAGTTATAAAATATAATCAATCTCCCAAAATAGAATTAGAGAATACTGATTAAGCATCCCACGTGTTTTTTGTCAAGGGAATTTCATTCAACAATTGATTATTCCAATGTAAAATCTAAATATATTCCAATTTTTTTGGCTCCCGAACGAATGTAATATCACACGGTTTAAAATTGATGAGCGGGTGGGTCGTGGTCACAATAATTCGTGATCAACTGTTACAAATCGACAAATATATCAAAATAGATAAAAATAAAATATATAATCACAGAAATAAAAGAAGTGTCTTTCCACTGAATCTTTCAGACAGAGTTTAATTAGTCAATGATGAAATAATGTCTTTCCACAAATTCGATGATTATGAGAAAATATTTGTTCACAATCCTCTTTTTTTTTTTTTTTTTTTTTTTTTTTTTGCAGAAAATAAAGCTGCTTTTTTTTTTTTGCCGTCAATTTACTCTCTCCTCTCTCTTGTATTGTACCCGAAGCTCAGTGTCTCTGCCGCTCTCTTCCTCTTTTCCCTCTTGTTTCCTCTCCAGCAGCTGCAAACTGATGTGAGTTTTCTCCTATTTTCTCCGATTTATCAACTTTCTCTGCTCGATTTGTACCTTTGTTAGCCGTTTTTAGCTACTTTCTGCAAGATTCTCGATCTGGGTTTTCCATTTTTCCCCTAAACCTGTTGTGGGTTGTCTCCAGTTAGTGTTCCAGATTTTGCTCATGTTCATTTATGGCTCTGTGGTTGTTTTCTAGTGAGAGAAAGCCATGGCGGGAGGTGGAGCTCCAGCACCCAAAGCCGATGAACCTCAACCACACCCTCCAAAGGACCAGCTCCCCAACATTTCGTATTGCATCACCAGTCCTCCTCCTTGGCGTGAGATTCTCTCTTCTTCTCGTTATTTTCTTGTCCATGCTTGGATTTTCAAGTTTGTTTACATAGATCTGCTCTCTAGTTTGATTAAGGGGAGAGATTCTAGAATATTCTCGCATTTTCTCATGCTTCTGTTAGAAATACTGTGGTAGGTTTATGATTTCTATCCGAATGTGATTCTTGCAGATTTTATCTTTGTATAGTGTTGCTACAGTTGTGTAAATGGAAAAGCATTCTCCTGTGGAACCGACAAATCAGAGTATAATTCACATAATACACTATGTTTGTCTTTGGAACTGTTGACTGGTTTGGAGAATTGAACCCAATTCCCGGGTGTTTTATCTTGATTTTCAGTCTTTTTGAAAAGGGATTTCTACAACGTAATGCTGCCCTTGAACATATTGCTTTTCAATATATACTTTTGCCCCCATTCTTTTCCTGTATAAAATTGCTTTGGATGCTTTTCTTTTGTGTTTGATATTTCTTTATCAGGCACCTTGTCTTAAACTTTTGCAAATAGGCCTCATTTGCCTTATATATATAACCTTTCATTTCTGCAGATTGTTATTGATATTGGGTTTTTGGATTATTGATTAATGTGTATAAATGGATCGAAGTACAGCAAATGCAGTAATCATAGGTAGTCAAGTAATGGATGAGTTCAGTGGATTGAGTTTATTGTCTTTATGACATTTTTCTATATGTCACATAATCTTATATGTTCTCACATCTATGTTGTTGTTTTCCCATCTCCTTTGTTCATTAGATTTGAAATTCTGTATATCAATGAAATTGAAATATATCCGCATGCTTATGTTTCAGCTGAAGCTATCCTCCTTGGTTTCCAACATTACCTTGTGATGCTCGGCACTACAGTCCTCATACCGACTTCCTTTGTTCCCCAGATGGGAGGTGGAAATGTAAAGCCTTGCAAAATAACATAATAAGTGAAAACAAAAAATAAAAATGTGTCTAGCAAATGACGTGATATGATATTGTTTATGTAAATGCTGCAGGAAGAGAAGGCAAAGGTGGTCCAGACTATACTCTTTGTTTCTGGGATTAACACGTTGCTCCAAACACTGTTCGGGACGAGACTACCTGCTGTAATTGGAGCATCCTACACATTTGTTCCAACAACCATATCTATTATCCTCTCGGGTCGATTCAGTGATACCTCAAACCCTGTAGATGTATGCTAGCCCGGCTTCTCCTCTGTTTATATCATAGTGACACTAATATTATGTCTTAAACCATCATGTTTGATTCATCCATATGCCTCTTTCACGGTGCTGTACCAAAAAATAACCATGTTTGATCTCTATGGTCAGCGATTTGAAAGGATAATGCGGGCAACCCAAGGTGCCCTGATTGTTGCTTCAACCCTACAGATGATTCTCGGTTTCAGTGGCCTTTGGCGTAATGTTGTCAGGTCAGTCTGGAGAAGGAATTTGTCTAATCCATTCGTTTTCTTTACCCAACGGTTGTCTAATCCATTCGTTTTCTTTACCCAACAGTAGTTATCATTTGCATGCTTTCCCTGTAATTGTTCTTTTGTGTTTCAGGTTCTTAAGTCCTCTCTCAGCTGTTCCATTGGTGGGTCTAGTAGGTTTCGGGCTATACGAGTTTGGATTCCCCGGGGTAAGTGCTATTTAATTTTGCAAGAACACATGAATATTGAATAGTTCATATGAATGCGTAAGAGCAGGCCTAAAAGCTCGTCTTTGGTTGTTAACTTCTGTTTTACATTTTCAGGTTGCGAAATGTGTTGAGATTGGGCTGCCTGAGCTTCTTATTCTAGTATTTGTTTCACAGGTAATGCTTAATCTAGTACTGTTTAATTAAAATAATTGATTACTATATTATCTGTCTCATTTGTTGTTTTAGAGTTTCGCCCTTTTTTTAACAGGATGATTCCAAAATTAACCGAAGTTGGTGTATCTGTTTATTGTCTAACAACTTCAAATGTTTGTGTTGCAGTACCTACCTCATGTGATCAAATCAGGGAAAAATGTATTTGATCGGTTTGCTGTGTTATTTTCTGTGGTGATTGTATGGATTTATGCTCACCTTCTCACTGTTGGTGGGGCCTACAACGGTGCTGCTCCAAGGACACAAGCAAGCTGCCGCACAGATCGTTCTGGCCTCATAGGTGCTGCACCTTGGTAAGTCCTTCTGTTGCAACGGTTCCTAAGTGTGTGTTCAGTTCCAATTCTCGAACAAGGCTTCTACACGGAAGTCGTCTTGAAGTAGTCGTCTTTTTGTGGAACCACAACCTTTTTGGAAAACTGGATATAAAAGATAATGTGAGCTTTGTCTGTAAAACTATCGTGCCTATGAACAGGTGACTCGGTATGTTTTTGGATTTCTTATTGAGATAAATTCACTATCTCCAGGATAAGAGTTCCATGGCCTTTCCAATGGGGTGCCCCTTCGTTTGATGCTGGAGAAGCTTTTGCAATGATGATGGCTTCTTTCGTTGCTCTTGTGGAGGTTTGTGACAAGTCTTCTCTTGATTTATGTTTTTTTTTCTCTTGAGTATACTGTTATGATGCAACTCTACCTTTATATAAAAAAGAATGCTTATGATGTATGATCCGGTCTATTGATTCTTCTTCTCCTCTTGTTTCTTCCATGTTCTGTCTGATTTATGTAGTCGACTGGTGCTTTTATTGCTGTATCGAGATATGCAAGTGCCACCATGTTGCCACCTTCTATTCTCAGCCGTGGTGTTGGCTGGCAGGTAACTGGGCTTCAGTATGAGAAATTGAGTGTTGTTGGATGTTTTGATGCTTAGGTAGCGGAAAATATTGGGCGAAAAATATTTCAAACTGCTGATTCGATTAAATTTGCTAATGGGTCAGGGAGTTGCTATTCTGATATCAGGGTTGTTTGGTACCGGAGCTGGCTCCTCCGTATCTGTGTAAGGGTCTTTTTATGTCAAATCATTTTTTTTTCTGATGGATCATGTTCAATCTTGTCCGTTTTCTCTAAAAATTTTGTTTAAAACCGACTCAAAATGCAGAGAGAACGCCGGTCTTTTGGCCCTGACCCGAGTTGGTAGTCGGAGGGTTGTCCAGATAGCTGCTGGTTTCATGATTTTCTTCTCTATTCTTGGTAAGTTTCTTGATTCAAACTTAAACTAAATGAGAAAATCTTTACGCGAAATCAGTTTTAGCTTTTGGTCGGAGTTTATGGGATAAATCCAATGAGCTATGCAGGGAAGTTCGGAGCTGTATTTGCTTCAATTCCCGGACCCATCATTGCTGCTCTATACTGTCTCTTCTTTGCATACGTAGGTGTGTCCCTTTCGAAAGTTATCACCTTTAAACCAAACACATAAACCGAAAAATGGTAAGAGTGTTAATGATTGTGTGTATACATGAAGGAGCTGGAGGTGTGAGTTTTCTTCAGTTCTGCAACCTTAACAGTTTCAGAACCAAATTCATATTGGGCTTCTCCATCTTCCTCGGCTTGTCTATTCCGCAATACTTCAACGAGTACACTGCCATCAACGGTTATGGTCCTGTCCATACGGGAGCTCGTTGGGTATGTATAACTCACTCTTCCTCTGTCTTTTGAAATGGGTTTTTGTCTGAAAGAAGCGGTTTTGAACTCGAGCTAACGAAACTTGCCTGGAATTTGCATCCAAACGGGCAGTTCGACGACATGGTGAACGTCCCGTTCTCGTCGGAACCCTTTGTTGCGGGTTGTGTTGCGTTCTTTTTGGACAGCACGTTGCATAAGAAAGACGGGTCGGTAAGGAAGGACAGAGGAAAGCACTGGTGGGACAAGTTCAGGTCGTTTAAAGGCGACACCAGAAGCGAAGAATTCTACTCTCTTCCCTTCAATCTCAACAAGTATTTCCCATCTGTCTAGAGAGTGAGAAAGAGAATCACAGCCAAGGAGAAGAAGAAGAAGAAGACAGAACATCAGTTATGGGAGCGATCTGTTCTTGTTCTTGGTTCTCTGTTTTGCAATAACTGTCTGGAAATGGTCTCATGTTCTTATAGGTGCTTATTATTGTTCTTATAGGAAAAAAAATGATTCCAAGAGCATTTATTTTACTATTTTCCAAATGATGCTAATGTTTTTATTTTTGAGTTAAAATTTTAATTCGATTTTTCGATTTAGATAAATTGTATCAGATTAGATTATATTCGGGTTATTTTGCTTGTTGACTAAATTAAAAATAATCTCGGTATCAATTTAATTGAACTTAACATTAAACTTAGGCCTCAAATTATATGAAACCGACATCGTTTTGGCTCCTTCTGTATACGGCGTCGTTTCGCAGACAAAAAACCTCCCACGTGCACGCACAAAAGAAATGATGGCAGAAGAGCCTCCCTACTGCTACGTCATCTAGAGTTTGATAAAAGTCAATGCCAGGGGTAGTTTAGTCATTACAGTAAATATCGACGAGAGTTCTGAGCGGAGAAGAGGGGTTTCCGTTACCGTTATCCTTTATATTCTCTCTCTCTCATCGCTAAGACAAAAATCGCACGTCTCTCTAGTCTCTACATCTCTCTAGAAATCTCTATTAGGGCTTTTCAGGATCTCCAATCTCGCGATCGATTCTTCTTTCTTTTTTATTGTCAGAATAATCTCGAAGCCATGATTTCGGAATCGAACAGCAACGCTTCTGCGTCTGCAGCGCCCTGCGCGAGGGATATCGGCAAGAAGAAGAGGGTGCGATTTTTGGACATCAGATCCCTCTCATTTCTTTTCTTTGGAATTTCATTTGATCTATTGTTTCCGTGTTTTTCCAGTTCCATTTCTTAATTATTTTGTGGGTTTTGGTTTTTTTTTTCTTGCATTTCCTTGCAGCCCAACAGGTCCGCAAAATTGAAGCAGTGCAAGCTTGATGCTCGTCGTGAGCAATGGCTTTCCCAAGGTATGATGACCAAAGATCTTACTTTTACATTTTTTTCATACGTTTCCATGGCGTGGGTTTGCTTAGCTTTTTCTCTCTGTTTTCAACTGTCTGTATCGATTTTCGGGATTTGGGTTTTTTTGTTTGCTTTTGGTCATTAGTTGCTGCGAAGAATAAGGGGTGTAAGGAGGAGATGAACGTCAACCAAAGAACTGGGAGTGAGAAACCTGAGGAAAGGGAGAGATTCAACAGCCCAGCGGAGAATTTAGATAGGGGGCGTAGGGAAGGGGATAATGACAGAGCATTCCATCACGAGAGTTTTATGGAGTCACCTTCCAATAGCTCCAGCAGTAGTATCCTATCTGGCAGAGATTCAAGCCCGAATTTCAGTGGCAGCAGTAGCAGTGGAAGCGGTGGCTTTTGCTCTGGTAATATAACCGAGGAGGAGGAGGAAGGCGATGACTGTTTGGATGACTGGGAGGCTTTTGCTGATGCTTTAGCTGCCAATGACAAGCATGAGAAAGAAAATCCTCGAGAGTTGTGCAAAGAGCATGGGACTGTCAGGCAATCGGCTTCTCCGGGGCGTTCAGTTAGTGGCTTTGTTCCACACAATGGTTCAGATGGGGGTGTGATGAATGGAAAGCAAGATTTCCGGAGAGCTATATCGAGGATGCAAAAGAGCAATCGGGCATGGCGTCCAGATGATGACTTTCGGCCTCAGACCCTGCCTAATTTATCAAAGCAGCATAGTTTCCCAGTCATGGACTGCCATTTCAGTTCCATGGCCACACCATCGTCATGTCCCATCTGCTACGAGGATTTGGACTTAACAGACTCAAACTTTTTGCCATGTCCATGTGGATTCAGGCTCTGCCTTTTCTGCCACAAGACAATATGTGATGGGGATGGGCGTTGTCCTGGTTGCAGAAAACCATATGATCAGAGTGCAATCAAGGCTGAGACTAATGTCCAAGGAGGAGGTGGTCTGTCAATTCGGTTGGCTCGTTCATCTAGCATGTTTTGCAGGTCTTAGAGAGGAGAAATGCTTTTTTGTGAACCGTCTGTCCATCCCCATCTTCTTTATCGCATGTGTTGCATTCTCCATTAGTCTTAGACTCTGTTTCTCTAGTTTAGATGTGGGTATAGGATTGTATTTTGACACCCGTGAACTTGAGCTTTGTTCATTCAATGTCATTGACTCTTCGTCTATCTAAGCATGTGGTGATGTAGAGTGGAGTGGTGTGTGAGTACATAAGATGGTACAGAAATTCAAATACATAAAGTTCCAATAAGTTATCTATTGTCAATGTCTCCGTGGACCTTTGCTCTTCTCTGTACTTTATATTTACGAGGTTGCATTTTGTCTAACCTTTTCCGCTCTCCCTGTTTAATCTCATACAATGTTGTGTACAATGGATGTTATCTCTTGTCATCTGCTCCCTGTGTGATTCTCTCTCAGCAGGTTTTTCCTATGATGAGACTGCAAATTGATGGTTAAAGAGTCCTTGCTGCTTTTGGCCTTGTCTTTACAGGTTACTCAACATCAATGCTTGTTCTATAATTTCAATAAAGTTCATTTGTCATAATCTTTTCATCTGTTGTTTGCTCCTTATGTTCTTATGGTACGCTGCTTGTTATAGATGTTGTTGAAGTTCATCGTTTGTACTCAAATAGTGATAGAAATGAAATTCTTCTTAGTGTTAGTTGGAGCAAAGTTTCTTTTAAAGTTCTCTGTCTTCACTTTCATTTCCAGCCTACGTTCTTCGGCTAATGGTGGAGGATAGTTTCTGTTCCCAAGCTTCTCAATGGGTCATTCATCTGAACTTCGTGAATGCTTTTGCTACTATCTCTCACTGATCTAAGTGGAGTTTTGGTATGCTAATGACTTCCTTTGTAGGCAGTCACAGTAACTTGTCTTCCATAAAATTGTATAACTTGCACATGAAGTTTTGATTGTAATACTGTGTTTTCATGAAGTGGTGCAAACATTGAATTAACGTCCCTCAAGTAAACAGGCGTTGGAGAACCCATTCTGATTGTACGGACTCGTTGGAATAGATTCATTTTAACCTTACAGGATCCTACACCGAAGATCAGGCAATTTTTGCATTGGGAAGTCAACATGTTTGGAATTCAGAGGTAAACATGCATTTGTTTGTTTCAATCTATCTGGAACTTTAGGCTTCCTTGTTTGATGAGGCTCTGGTTCTCTCATGGCAGTTGCTTTCTTTCTTCTGTTTATGCAGAATGCTTTTGCTTCCGTTTATTTGTCTTGAGCTGTGTTAGAAAAAGTTGAAGACTTTATCTTTTCCTTTGACGTCGCTTGGGAAATGGAAAGAGTAGGTGTCCAAATTCATTAGATAAAGTTGCTCAAACATTACGTTATTTGTAGTCATTACACAAGGATTACATGGAAATTCCAATGGCTTGAAGTGGTACTATGATTTAAGCAACTTCTGATGGCTTTGGTGATGTCATGCTTCAGCCACGCATAAACCTTGAGACTGGAGATAGGGTCGTGTGATCCTGTGTAAGAGTAGTCCACCACGTGTGAAATGTTGAGCCCTCCAAGAACATCTGGGTATCTAGTTCTCTCTCATCGATCCAGGTATCAATCATCGTCTCCAATGCCCTAACCCTTTCCCAGAATTCTTGGTATGGCTTTCCCTTGAGATTTTCGTATGGCTCTCTTCTGAGTTCTTCGACCTCAGCCCAAACGCATGATCCGCACTTGGAGCCTGCAAACTTGAGCTTCTCTTTAATGTCTTGCTCTGATCCCAGGTTAAGAGCTTTTACTTTGGTCGAGAAAATGTTTTCTAGGTCCGATCCTTGCTTCCATCTTCCGTGCTCGAACCATCTCTGAGCATATTTGTAGCGGTTTGGTCTTCCGTTGTCCATGTAGGCCCCGGTGTCTTCGTTCTTTAGATGTCGGTAGTAGTTTGCTATGTCCAATGGTTCAACCAATCTCCGGTACTTGGTTGCTAGGTTTATCCACTCCTTGCACTCCTCAAAGCTATCGGGGAGTTGATAAATCTTCAGTAAACCGAGGACTTCGTCGAATATACCTGCTAACTGAGCCCTTTTGACATTTGCTTCGAAGTCAAGATCTTCGTTTGAAGCCTTGAATGAGTCGAAATACCCTGTCCTAGGGGCTTCGCATTTTGTCTTGTATTTCTCCATCCAATCTAGTTTGCTTTCAATCTCACCTTGTTTCTTTTGTACCTTCTTTTGATTTTCGTAACGTTGGTTCTCTGCCTCTATAGCTGCAAGGACACATAGCCTGCCGCTTATGCTCTGGAAAAGGAAAAACGCCATTTGAGGAAGGGTGCTTTTATTCATTCAAAATGTTGTGGGCATTGAGAAAAGGCAGGGCAAAACTTACCAGTGCGGCGCTAATGGAGTTTGCGTGGAAGTCGCCTCCATCAGAGGATAGCCGAAGCTGGTCCAAATGATACAAATTGGTTCCCAAGAATTCCGGTAACTTTTCGTATTTGTGATGATCTTTTATGCTTTGGAATAGGACGGATGACCATTCTCTTTGTTCACTCAACTGAGAAGAGTAGAACAGTATTTGTAGAATAGCGTCTGCATTATTCACTGCCAATGGTGTCTCGCCCGAGCAGAAGACATAAGTACCAAAGGGCCGATAAGGACTTAGCTCGATGAAGGAGGAGAAGGTTTCTAACAACGGGTTTGTGTTTCCCATCAGTTGACAGGCGGAATGGTTAGCAACACATGATGTGCTCCTAATCACCGTTGTATAGAAATCTTCAATCCTCTGATCATTCCCCGGGTTTGATGCCTCAGATTTTGGATCCAAAAGGTGCAAAAACAGAGGTAGGCTATCATCCCCTATGGATGATGACTTGGGAGCAAACAGAATCCGAGGGACAATGTCGTACCTCTTGACAAAGTGCAGAAAGTACTGGCTCCAGTTTTCTCGTCCAAGGGCGTGCTTGAACACTGCATCTCCGACAAGGGGAGCCCCAAACGTGACGCAACGAGGCGGCGGAGAGGTCGGACCGTACGTCTCGAGGAACCAAACTGTAACTAAGATTGCAGTGGCACCTCCTGAAGACAGTCCAGTGAAAACTAGTTGTTTTCCTTGTTCCTTGGCCCTTTTCACCTGAGAAAAAGCTTCCCAACCCAGTAAGGAAAAGTGTCTGTTTCCGGATTATATCCCACATTATAATCCTTTCATATCTGTCTATGATTTTTTTTTTCTACATCTTGTTTAACCACTGTTGTCTTCTGTTGAAGGCAAAAAAGTTTTAAGCTTTATGTAAAAGAAGCGAACATGGTGACGGGTTAGGGTGAATTAAACGTTTGAAGAGAGAGAGAGAGAGAGAGAGAGAGAGAGAGAGAGAGAGAGAGAGAGAGAGCTCTCACCTGTTGTTGAAAGGAGGGGCTTTGACTGAGGACAGTTTCAGCTTTCTTGAGGAAAGCTTCATTGACAGTAGCGTCATGGTCGTTGCCGATGCTTCTGAGACAACGGAGCTGTCCACGCTTTATCTTTATCTCCCCAAAGGGGGCATCATTCCCTGGAGCAAACCAGTTGTCCACCGAGAACGATGGCGGGAAGCTGAAGAAGGCGTAAGGCCCTGCGGATTCATAGTAGTGATTTGCACCTCGAAAATCGCGGGCTCTTATCGCGGCGGTCAGAGCTTTTCCGATCAGAAGAGGGCTGATTCCGGTAACAGCTCCGAACTCCATCTCTCTCTCTCTCTCTCTCTCTCTCTCTCTCTCTCTCTCTCTCGTGTGATTTCCAGATGATGTACAAGTAGACTTGTGCTTATTTTGGTCCTCGTCTTTGAATATATGCAGGGGGGGGGGGGGGGGGGAATTACCGGAAATGTATATGCAGGGGGGGGGGGAGGGAGGAATTACCGGAAATGCCCATGTGATAGTGACTGGAGTTCCATGGAGACAGAGGGTATTTCTGGCGGTGGACTTACTTGTAGGATGACGATATTTTAAAAAAAAAAAAGGATGACAGAGAAAAAAGGGCTATTGCCTATTGGAGATGACTCAAAGTCTTTCCGACATAAGAGTGAGATGTTTCCTACCAACTCAGAGGGCTCTCACTTTTTTTACTTCTTTTTATGCATTTTCTTCGCTGCTTTTTTCCTGAGAAAGTTCCTGTTGGTTTCGGACTCATTTCGCCTTCACCTTCTTTTAAAAGATGGCTTGCTTGCATGGAAAGAGCCGCGTTCTTTCCAATTTCAATGCTTAATCTTTGTGGTGGGTGGGAAATTGACCGGCTTTTCAAAAAAAAAAAACTCTATTGGAAATTAATGATGGAACTAAAACCCAACTAAATATATGGACTTTGATTTTTGTATCAATTCGAACCCATGTGTAGGAAAGGTTCTAATGTTTTTTCTTTTTAAAGAGGAAAGGTTCTAATGTTGGATCCTAAAAAAATCATAAATCATCTCATAGAACAATACAAAATGTGCATGAGAAGAAGCAATTAGGAATCTTGGACATATACATATATACATATTTCTTCCAAAGGTCATTCGGTAAACGCTTTTAGTCCACGTAAAGCGCAAAAAAAAAAAACATTTCTAGGGGGGGCTTACACCCTACAAAAAATATACTCTCGTGTAATGTATTGCTTTTTATAATCTATAATGAAAAATTCCAAACCCTATAATTTACAACCCTTCCATATGAAGACCCATCGCAGCGGTTTTGTTAGAATCTGGCAGATCCTGGTCTCGATCTTGACCTACTAAGGCTTTTAGACCATATGCCATTGCAGGTCGTGTTTCGGGGTTCGGCCATAGGACGATCAATTTGCGCATTGGAAAGCAGTGAGAGATCAAATTCTGGGGCGTTTGTGATGGTGCTGAATCATCATGTCGACAGGTGATGGAAGAGGGTAAAGGCCGCCTTCTACTCCTCTCTTGAGGATGTTATGCTTCCTCTTGTCTGAAACCCTTTCCTCGTCTACTCCCCTCATCAAAGAGTCCCTCAATCTCTTCACGTCCGACAGTTTTACCGGCTTTAGTAAGAAATCCTCTGCCCCTTCTTCTAGACATCTGCGTACCAAAATTCAAAACCCATATATCAGAGATCTTGATGAAGATTATATTCTAAGCTGATGTTATAATAAGACGATCCTAATTAATTGAACTCAAATGGGAGGCAACATAAAACGGTGTTATCAAAGGGTCTATTTTGGTGGAGTGATAAAATCTCCATTTGCAGATCTTGTTGTCGGATATGCATCCGACAAGAGACAATGGGACAGGTCACGAAACCCATATATACATATGTATGTATGTGAATGATATAGACAACATATTTCTCTTTTATTCGGTTGTTGCAGTGCGAGCCATGTGAAATGTCTCTCAACAAAAATAATTTTAAAAAGGGATTTTCTGGCCCTACCCAAAGATTTGCAAGAGAATATTTACATTATTTTACCAGCGCATCACCCGAAACGAGAATCATATCTCACGGAAAGATCGTGCTGGCTACAGGGACAGCGACCCTCTCCCACCCAAAAAAAATGCCTAAAATTCATATTTTGGACCTAATAATATTATTTACTTAAATCTCAGTTTTAACCAATTATGAAATTGCCTAGTAGTCACCATCTCGGTTTTTAAAAACCATTTTTTTTTTGGACTATAGTTTCGTCGATTTTCAACTTGTTCAATTTGCAACTGTAATATTAGTAAAAAAAACTCATATATTAGTTAAAGAATCGTGGTTTCTTATATTTGCGTATCATTTTTGTGTTCTATACTATCATCAAATCACACACTACCCGGTCATTGTTATGGCCGCCTACTCTAATAGGAAGAAGATCTTATGTTCATAAATCCTTCCATCCAACTCAAACGCTTTTCTAAATCATCAAGATGCACCAAGTCCAATAGAATCAGCGTGATGCTTCCTAGTAATCTATGACTATGGATTGAAAAACAGACGAATCGGAATAAGTAAATAAACCATAGTAGAGTGCTGAACATTTACCTATCAATTCGAGGCAAGATGTTCTCTGAGGACATGATCACCACTGGTATTTCTCTGAAAGCTGAGGATTCCTGAGAAATAATATAACACGAACTCGGGTAAGGAGGTGGAGATGTGATTTCATTATAATATCAGAGTCTTCTCCAGGCAACCTTATTTGAACAATGAATTCGGATTAATCGTGGGGAAAAAAGCTTCTATTACTCACTTTGATCTTCTTCATAAGTTCATATCCAGTCATCCCCGGCATGGAGTAATCGGTCATTATCAAATTCACCTTCAAATCCTGAAATCGTCCAAGCAGATATTCAGAAAGATGATCAAATACTAATAAGATAGTTGACAGCGATTTTCTAGCGCACACTTTTTTTTTTCTCGGCAACCAAACAGAAATTTCTAGGAAAACGAGATAAATGTTTCTTACCGCAAAACCAACGGAACTCTTCTCTCCATCCAATCCAAGGTACTGCAAAGCTCTCGTTCCGCTGTCAACAACAGTAACTGAAAAGAAAGAAAAATACATGGAAAACTAAGTTAGAACACAAATTCCTCCGAAGCCAAACGCAAACGAAAACCAGAAACACAAGTGCAAATCTACCTTTGCAGGAAGAGATCTTGAGCAATCGCTCGATGAACTTCCGGTCGACGTGGCTGTCGTCGACGGCGAGAACATGGAGGAGCTCCGGCGATCCAGACGGCGAGGGGCCGTTGGATATCTCAATCTTCTCAGGGAGCAAAACCTCTGCCATGGCTCCGAAAGATCAAGGACGAATCAGGAATTAGCGATTCGGGAGATTCTTTTTTCGAATTCGAGAGAATCAAATACGCAAATCGGAATGGGAAATTGAAAATTGTGGGGGTTTGGATTTATAAAGGAATAAGAGAAAAAGAAAAGAAAAGGGGAGGGAAAATCAGATATGGAGAGATTCTGAAAGATCTTGGGAAATCTGTGGGATTTGGCTGTCGCTTGCGCGTGGGGGAAAGCAAACACACTCTTGTTTATTCGGCCTCTTGCATTTTGGGCCCATAGATACCTATTTTTTCCATTATTTTTATAATTTTATTTTTTGGAAATGTGAAAAAAGTATTTTAGAAATTTTCACTTCAGACACAGATTCATACATGTTTTATAATGAAAAAATCTATCTTCCAAACAATCCATATATATATATATGAAAATTATATTTATATTTTATCACTGTTAATTATTAGTATATTATCTAAATTTATGCTAAGCAATAAAACTTATGCTAATGTTTGAAAGGTATATGGATTCAAGAACAGAAAATATTGGTGGGTGTTATTTATAGTCATAACAAGAAAATACATTTTGAATTCAAATATGTACATTTAAAAGATCTAGATTACTATGGTTATGAAATACATTGACCTCGATTTTTTGTTAAAATAATTAAATATATATAATTAGATTTGGGTCAACCAATGTAGTTGTTTTAGACTTTTGAGGAACGCGGAACTAATATAGGATCCATCGGATTCTACTCCGCCGATGCCAACTCCCTTTCCATGTGATCCATTTGCTTGGAATTGGTTTTGATTTTTTATTTTTATTTTATTTTGCAGAATGTCGATATAGAAACGTAATTATATATATATATATATATATATAGTATGTATGTATGTGCATTTTATGTTTGATGTTTACCATTCACTTCGCACGTGTAAATTGTCCAAATTCGTTACCATATTTCGGGTTTTATTTATTTTGGTTCAGAACTTTTAAATTTCATTTTTATTTATTAGAATATTATATACCTTCCTTTTTATTTCATTTCAATCCAATTTATATCCATATTAATTGAATTTGTTAATTTTAATTTTCGTTTATGTTTTTGTTTTCAAACATGTGTTGAATTCCTATTTTGAAAGCTTTATGAATGTCAATTTCCATCAATCAACTCAAGAAAACATTACATTGGACAAAACAAATAAATCGTATTATCCCATAGATAAATAAAATCTGTTTACATATGATCCTAAGAAGATAATTCGGTGGATAATTATATGATTATTGGACAAAATCTCTAATTAACCTATTCTCGTTGTCTCTCTCTTTCGTTGTTGTCGTCGTTCGTCAGTGGAGGGAGAAAACCATGGAGGAGGAAAAAGCGGCGGCTTACTACGACGAACTCACCCGCAAGGGCGAAGGAGCCGCGCGATTCAAGCAAGGCCTCGGGTTTTCGTCCGACGCCGCCGGAGCTCCGGCGAGAGGATCCGCAATCGCTTCCTCATCATCCTTCCTCAGCCAGTTCGTCAGAGCTTCCGGCCCTACCGCCGCCGCCAAGCCCGAGAAGGATTCCGAGATCCGATCCATCAGAGACAAGCTTAAGAAGAAACCCGAGGATCAGAGACAGTCTAGGGTTCCGGAGAGGAGCGAGCGTCGTCGTTCTCGGAGCCGAGAGAGGGATGATAGAGATAGACGCCATAGAAGGAGAAGTAGGAGCAGGAGTAGGAGTAGAGAGAGGCGCAGGGAACGCGAGAGAGATGATGGGGAGAGACGGAGAAGGAGAAGGAGGAGCCGGAGTTCATCGCCGAGGAGGGAGAGGCGGAGGAGCGACGACGATGAGAGGAGAGGGAAGAGGAGAGAGGAAGGGAAGGAGGAACGAGACGACAAGGTTGATTACTCGAAACTAATCAATGGCTACGATGAGATGGTACGTCGTCTCTCGTCTCTCTTGCTCATTTTATCGTCATTTTGGCCTCTATTTCTCGTTTCGATGAATCATACCCAGTGCAGGTTGATGCCATTTTGTTTATCATGTTCGGTAACTTCAGTTTCAGCTGTTTTGTCCCTTTGGATATTTGTTATCAGAATCTTCAAACAACATGGATGTGTTGTGTAATACTGATTCTACAATCTGGGCGTAGCTATTGACATTCGCGGATCAGATTTGTGGGTTGGCTTAGCAATTGAATCATGGTAGATGATTTCACATCGTTTGCTTGAGAGCTAACTGTGTGCAGGGGCTAGACTCTTACTATAAACTCTCGAATTTATAACCTGTAATAGCTACATCTGTTCTTAGGTTGTGGAATTCGACTTGAACATTTCTTCGTAGCTCGGGTTTTTGTCCCACCTTGTGACATTTTGTTGTTGATTGATCGTGTCGTTTGTGCGGGTGTTTGGTTGCCTTTGTTAGTTAAGGACTTAGGATTGGTCTTGTTGCTTTTCTTGAACAGTCGGCTGCTGAAAAAGTGAAAGCAAAGATGAAGCTCCAGCTCGTCGAAACCGGTAATTTGGTTAGGCATCCCGCTAAGTTATTCCATTGGCTTTGTCATGCATTCGACGTTATCTTTATGTCCTGTTGAGGTTGGAATGGATGCTGCTGCTCTATATTCTAAAGCACCAACACAGAAATCTTACATAGTATAGAGAATTTGCTGTTTCTATCAAATTTTGTCAATTTGAATTGAAAGACATAAACAGCGGGAAGCTATTTGACTAAGATGACTTAGAAATAGAGAAGCTTAACTGTTCTCGGAACTAAATCTATGTTTAATTAGTGGAAATGTGGCAGTATGTTGGGAAGACAAGTATTAATGGCAATCAATCTGTAAGCTTCTATAAGAGCCAATTTTTTCTTTTAATAAGGGATCTCATACACGGAGATGAAAATAGGGAGGTGTATGCAGCAACTCACTTGGTGTTCTAGTAGCCAGCCACTTGGCTAAGATGAGTTCTAAACTCAAAGTGAGTCGTGTACCTTATTTTGATCTCAATTTATGTGATCTCTTGTTCATAGGATACTTAGGTTTGGTTGCCGTTAGTACTTCCCTTCCCGGCATATTGCCCACATTTACACCAATTAAACATATCTTCAATTTCAAAAACAATTAAGTTTCTTTGCTTCCAACCCGTCTTAATCAAGTGGCACCTCGGGTTTTGTCTTTCATACATAAACCGGATCGGAGTTTATCAGAGTCATTTTCATATTTCTGTTGCAATGTATGTATTGCGATGGCTGGATGTTGTAAATGGGTAGCTTCCTATCAAGATACTTCATCGGGTTTGAAAAAGTCTGAGCCTGTCAGTATAATGTTGCAATATATCGATACACGTCAGCTTGCACTTATCCCCTACTCTGGAAACTAAAAATTTACTGTAATTGCACAGCTGAGAAAGACACCAGTATGGGTTCTGGGTGGGAACGGTTTGAGTTTGACAAGGATGCTCCGGTTGATGACGAGGAAGTCGAAGGTGGAGTTACCCTCCTCGTCATTTTCGTTCAACTGTATACCTAATCCGTTGCAGTTATCTTTTCTTGATGACATTTGAATTGTCAGTAACTTGTGATTCTGACAATATACAAATTTTATGCAGCTGCTGATGATGATGCAGCCTTAGTCAAGCGAATGGGTCAGAGCTTCCGGTTTTCCGCCATTGAGGTACACCTCCAAATCAAATAGCATCAATGTTCATATATATCCATCCATGGACTCGACTTATTCCAACACTTGTCTTTCTGAATCAAGAACACACACAAGTTGATTTCTAGTTTCTGCTGAGTAATTGCAGGCAAGAAGAGAAGAGGAAGTAAAAGCAGCCCATGAAGAAGCCATGTTTGGAGCGCCTTCACATCCAATTTCTCCTTCTGCCGAGGAAGAAGAAGACGTTGCCGAGGAGAAAACGAGCCACGAGGGTCCAAGCCTCGCTGCAACGAGCCTGTTAAGCGATAAGGTAATCTGGGTAGCTCGTCGAGTCTTTCTCGCATAGGCAACTCTCTTGAATGTTTTTGCTTAATTCATCATGTTTGGCGTTTAGGTGCTGGCGAAACAACAAGGATCTTGGCGTGACCGAGCTCGCAGATCGTAATTCGGTTCGGACCGACCATTGTGTGATTCATCATGGATGTTTTTCTTGTTAAAAGGAAACTGTAATGACGTTTTCTTGTTCTGTTTGTTTTTTTTATTCATTAGAGTTACTTGTATTCATTATATGTAAAAATTTGCTCCTCTAAATTCTAATGATGAGCAGAGTATTTGTTAAAAAGGATTAGAAAGAAAACACGTGGCGAATATTGATTGGATGAATGAAATATGCCGGCCAATCAGCTTCCAAATTGAATCGGAAAACATTTTTTTAATCTTTTTTTTTTTTTTGCCATTTCTGGGAAGAAAAAGCATATACGCTTAAAAAGCCGTGGACCCTCTTCCCCATCTGCATTCCGAGCCCTCGTTCTTCCGCTATCATCTCGACTAAAACCTCTTTTCTGCGAATCCAATGGCGAACCGTTGGTTGAGGCCTGAGGTACGATCATCGCGATCTTCATGTCTGATTCTTTCGATTAGATTGATTGGATTTATTTTCGCCTGTCTGATTCTGCGTTGACTGTGTTCTTCTGTTCCCCCAGATCTGATTCGATGTGTGTGTGGCTGTGTATAGGTGTATCCATTGTTCGCCGCCGTCGGAGCCGCTGTCGGAATCTGCGGGTTTCAGTTGGTTCGCAACATCTGCATCAACCCTGAAGTCAGGTCTCTCTCTCTCTCTCTGAACCTGATTTTACTCCGTCGTCTGCCAGTAGATATTATGGTTGAATTCCGTTTGACTATCTCAGATTTCAGTCCAGTATTTAATATATAGCGTAGATGGTCTATGGTCACAGCATGATCTCCGCAGAAACCATGTTTTATTGAGACTTGGGGAGGATTTGTTGTATCATCTAGAAGTTCATGGGTCAATACAGTTGTGTATCAAAAGCTTAGTTCTTTTCTTCTGATGTTCAAAGAAAAACCAGTGGTTATGATGATTCTGCTTTCAGATTCATAGAAATCCTTGGATTAGGGTTCGAGTTCTGAGAGAGGCATTGTGTTCTTATGATCTGTTGCGTTCGGAATGCAGAGTGAACAAGGAGAATAGGGCGGCGGGAGTTCTGGACAACTTCGCCGAGGGAGAAAGATACGCAGAGCATTTCTTGAGGAAGTTCGTCCGCAACAAGGGTCCGGAAATCATGCCATCCATCAACAAGTTCTTCACCGAATCCTAATACTGAAACCCCCCGAGTCGTTCTCTTGCTGCTATCTCGCCCAAGGGCTTCAACCCGGTTTCGTAAAACCCGATTGAAACTACGTATTCTTCAATGGTTACTACTATGGTATTGTAAGACATACAGGGGAATTTGTGTTGGTTTTGTCGTTTGTGTTGTTGTTACAGTCAGTCAGGTCTTGAACTGAAAAAAATATCCGGTTTCCTGTGGTTCTGAAACATTCCTGGTTCTCTTACAGAACCAAAACTGAATTTGAAATGTCATCATTTTGGTCGTACCACAAAAAAAGTTAGATACCGAAAAATTTGGTTAGCCGCCAAACCAACATAGTAATTTGTATGTAAATTGCATATTCAAGTACTCCCATGGAAAATTTCATATATTGTAGGCTTTTATGTAATCAAGTTTGTTTTTCTATACTCTTGAATATGATTATTATACTAAATAAGAGGGCCCACTGTGATTTGGACTGTTGTGGTTAAATAGGTCCAATGGGCCCATCCGATACTTGGGCCTCGTGAGCAAAAGACATTAAACATTGTTTGGTTTGATGCTAATTATGCGATTATGGATTAGAGATTGGTTGTCGGTTGTTATCAAGAAATTCTGCTGTTTTAAAGGACTAATGATCTCACTCACGGTTGTAAAATCATGTTTGATTAAAATTTTAAAAGAGATAAGGGGTAAAATGGTAATTGCATGAAACCGGGGGGG